AAGTAAAGCAATAGTGAATAAGATCCAGAAAACATTATTTTAAGAAAATTATAAGCTAGTTTCCTTTCAGCTAGCTTCCATTTGACTGTCATTTAAGAATAGGTCAGTGCTTTTCGCAAAGTCTTTCTAACTCCAACATTCCTCAAATAAAATGGAAGTACATAATGCCCCTTATGTCTATCATCTATAATTTAAGAAAGTGAACAGAGATGCATCATATTCTTACTTCTTTGAGAGTCTGCATTTTCTATGGCTCTGCTTCTGGACAAATAAGGAGAATGCGGATAATTAAGCACAGAAGACAATTTCTGTGTAGATTGAGACACATGTAATCCTGGTCTTTCAGCTTTAAATAAAAAGAAAAAAAATAATAAAAAAAATGCTTATTTTCCAGCTTTTGGGAACTGGTTGCTTAGTAAATGAGTGGTAGTTTTATATTGCCAGCCTTCCTATTGGTATTTAAGAGGAACTGCTTCTACTCCAGAATTATTTGGTGTCCTCTAAAATCTAAAGTAAAATTTCTCAGTTGCAGTTTCTAAAGACATGATTCGTGTTTGCTGAATAAAACAGGGACATGTCATAGTTGATTAAAAATATAATATGGTGACACATTCTCATTTGTGATGAAAAAAGAACATTTATTGTGTCTCAACTTAACAGTAAGTAGTGGTATATACACATATGTTTTACGACACCTCCTTCCTGAATGATGGTTGGGGTAAGCGTGTTGCCCACCACACTGTTTACAACTAGGAGAGGTACGCAACACCAATGTATGCATCCTTGGATTTAGGGGACTTAACCACTGCTCACAGCTTTCACTCTACACCCAGAGAAACTGAAAATATGGGCTTTAAAAGAATGAAGTAGGGTCTCATTTAAATCCAATGACTGACTTTTAACTCAACAGAACATTTGTTAATTTAATTCAAACTGTTTCTCAAACGCTTTCTAATGGAGGGGGTGCATATGTAAAAGCAGCTGCACTAAGGTGGTGGTAGATGATGAAAAATGGTGACACTGTAAAAAGTATACAATGGAAGAACAGTATTTGACTTTAATTTTCTTTTTTTTTTATTTTTGAGTTATTTTTTAATTTTATATGATAAAAGTATTCTTGATTTTCAAAGCATTATTTTCACATGAAATTGTAAATGATTATATGACCAGCATTTTTTAAAACGTATTTTTAAAATGTTCAGAATTTGAAGTTTTGAATTTTTTCATCATTCAAAATACTTTTTGGAAACTTTAAACCATATGCTGATATGCATATGTGGGTGCAAACCATTTTTCTCTTATTTTTCTTTCTGTCTGTAGATTGAGGTACACTTAGTGCTAAGGTCCAAATAATGATTCAGCCTATAATTTCACTCTACCTAGATGCTAAGTACACTGAAAACCAGGGCAAAGAAAACACAGGAACACCATGGTGAGCTGAACTCTTCAGAAATTCATAATGCTAAGCAATTTTATAAATCTGAAAATACTTATTGTAGACACGCAAAACAATAGGAAAGACATTATGATTTGATTGAATTAAAGTTTGAATTATTCTCTACAGAAACCTCAGAGTGCTAGAATAGTTACGGGAGGAAATATTTACAAGACAATTAAAAATATCAGAAGCATTTTTGATACATTTAGTGTTTCTCACTGAAAGATCAGTGATTTAAAGATTACTTAATTTCATTTGTTTTGAAGAACACTGTAATCTCTACTTATGGTACAACTGAAGGTAAAATGAATTATGAATTATGAAATGCATACTTATTCTTGTTTCTATAGGAACTACATTTTCAGAGTTAACTGCAAAGAAAGTATAGTTGTGATCTTCTTTTTTGCCTCCTTTTCCAGAACTTCCAGCAAAGGGAAGTACAACACCCTTTCAAGGCCAATTCCACTTAAAGAGCTAATGGTCTCTTTAAAAAATGCTTTTACATTGTGTTATGCACATAATTCCCCAGAGGAAAAAAAAAAAAAAAAAAAATTAGTCTCATCAATCAATGTTTTCTGTGAAGACCAGCAGTACGGAAACATTTGCCTTCTTGTTGTGCGTTGTTGTTCCAGCTCTTCTGAAAGCCAAATACCTACAACTGAAAGGAAATGGCAAGCTTTTCAAGCTGCAGTTATGGTTCAGTATCCTACTGCAGAAGCTCCCTTTGTTATTCACAGAATATGTACAAGGCATTGTACTGGTCATAACAACTGAGGTTTGACTAATGAGATGCAGGAGAGCTCTTATGGTTTTCTACTGCTTGATTGTTTCATGAAGTTCCCTTTGGTGATGTGTTCTGCTTGAATTTCAGTCTCTAAATTTATACAAAGTTTAAGAGATATTTATTTTTCAAATTTCACTTGTAGCATCTCTTCAAAAACAACCCCATGGGTACCCATGGGTACAGTGATAGCCTCAGTATTTTCCTGTTTCTATTTTTAGTCTGTAGTAATTCAGTCTCTATATAGCTATTCTGCTTTATCTTCCACTTAGAGAACACTCACGAGGTGGCGGTATCCAGGAGAGACTGCCATTTATCTTGTTGTCACTACACTTCTTGGAGTAGATGGAGTACTTTATCTTGGTGTTTATAAACCTTCAGAGAAATTACACTTAACTGGCAAATTTTAGATACTTCTATATGCAGTATAAAATTTCCACAGGGTATGAAAACATTACTGTAATTCCCTCAGAACAGCGATCTCTCTATTACTAGCACTTGACAGAAACCACAGCAATGTTTTCTGAATTTTATTTTTTTTATTTTTTTTTTTTTAAACTAACTACAGCTTAGCAGCTGGGACCCAGTAGTAACTAACAGCTTTTGGTACCCAATTTGAGACTACTTGTAGGAACACTGCACCATGTGGTCAGCACTTTCTAAAAATCAATTATCTTGAAAAAGTCAATGGATCAATTGCTTTTGAATCCCCTTAACAGCTTCACAATACGGAGTTAATTTTATGAAAATAGTTTTATTAGGTATTGTTTATTTCTGGGTTTTCTTTAGTCTTTGCAGGAGCTCTCAGTCCTTTTATTATGGGTTATTCCTTCCTAACATTTGTTTTTAATTCTAAGATACTCTATATAAAGGAGGATAAACGATAGTTCTTCTCTGTGGATAAACTGTATAGCATGTGATTCTGGATTAGCAGTGCTTCCGTTTATTGATGAGTGCATTACATGTATTACAGCACCACCAGACACAGAGCCAAGGTCAAGATACAGCTCTTCAGCTTTGTATTTATTAGTGGCTAAAGGTAGCTAGTTGCTTGACATGATTTAAAACCAGCCAGCAACAAAGTACCACATAGCCACTCAACTCATGCTCTCCTTTCTGCCCATCTTACGCTGGGCAGGATCTGGAAGAGAATCAAAAGAATTTTAAATCCATTGGCTGAGATAAGAACAGTTTAATAACTAAAGCACAATATAATACTAACACTAAGCGACATAACAAGGAAAGACATACAAAACTAAAGGGCAAAAGAAATAAAAACAACAGTGATGCATGATACAATTGCTCACCACCAGCTGATGCCCAGTACGTGTCTGCACAGCAATATGCCCTTCCGAGTAACTACCCGCAGTGGATACGCTGGGCGTGATGTCCTGTGGTATGGCGTATGCCTTTGGTTAGCTGGGTCAGGTGTCCTGTCACTGCACCCTCTCAGCTTGTGCCTCTCCTCACTAGCAGAGCACGAAAGACTGATCAGGGTAAGCGCTACCGAGTAACAACTAAAACATCCACATGTTAACCAGCATTATTCTCAGACTAAACTGGAAACAGAGCACTTGTACCAGCTACTAGGAAAAAATTAACTCTACCCCAGGTGATACCAGGATACTGCTCCTCTTTGGTATTAGAATCCTTACTTGGGTGGCTTATGCCAGAGATGGAGACAAAAGAAAACAGGAAGCCCTGATAACACTGAAATGAATACAGAAGCTGACTACACAAGCTGAAGGGAAAAGCTTCTGCTATGCATCTCTTTAGTATGGCTACCAAGGCTACTGCTTGGGATACTTTTCAAAAAATACGAACAAAATCAAAACCAAACCTTGGACAAAACATTGTAGTAAAAGCACAAGGGGCTAAGTTTCATTTGTGTTAGCTTTTGCTATCCAGAGTCTTCCACTGTCAACAAAACTTGTGCTGCGGTTCTGAAAAATGCGGTTATATGTATTTTCATTTACCTCTTACACTGCCGTGTTAGCAAAAAGCTATGCAAACCACGCACACAAACACTTGTACATGTGCGGAAGTGAGGGTGCCAAAAAAATGAGTAACTCAGTTATCATTCAATTACTCGTCACTTTCATATCAGTGCTCCTGCTGGTAAGAGAAATTCCTTAAATGTGCTGGGTTTTTATCAGTTCTATAACATATAGGTTCCAGAGGATTGCAGCCTCCAGCCAGGTTTCCACGGACAGGGAAGAGATTTGCTGCTCTTAAGTAAATTAAAAAGAAATGAAAGATCATTCCTAGAATCATCCTAGGGAACTGGCACTGCTGCTCCTGAATTACTCAATACAAACCTGACACTATAAATCCTCCATTAGAAAACGTGTTAAACGCAACTATTTTGAAGTGTGCAAAGGACAGAAAGTGGTGTACTGAGCTCCAGAAACCACGCAGCCCTGACTTGTGAGAACTCAGGAAAGAACCAGAGGCAGCACCTCTTCCATCATCAGGCACAAGCCAAGCAGACGGCCACAAGGCTGAAGACGCCCTCACACCACAATACGGACTCTGACGCGGCCGCCTCCTTCAACACAGGACAGCGGGCGACGGCCGAGGCCTCGGGCCCGCCTCAGCCTCGCCGCGCCCCTCCGAGGAGGCGGCACCACCTCGCTTCGCTGGACACTGCCCTCCTTACTCCCATTCCCTTTCCCTGAGGGTGCCCGGCGCCCTCCCTAGGTGTTGCCGGGGCGGGCAGACAGAGTCTCAGTGCGGGGCCCCACCAGCCGCGAACGCACGACCTCCTCTCCCGCCCCGCAAATGGCCGCCCCAACGTGCCGGTCTTCCCCTCCTCCGCTCCCAGGGGAGACGACCCCCGCCCCTCACCCCACCAAACCGCGGCACCCCACGGCGGCCCGGGTGGTTCCGAGCTCCCGGCGTAGCGCGGAGGTGCCAGCCCAGTCTCAGCGCGAGGCAAGACCGGAGCGAGGGCACTGGTGGGCGGGGGGGACCGACAGCGCCACCGCCTCTACGGGGGAGGCGGACCGCGACACACGGGGACCCCGGCTGGAGCCCCGCGCTCGCTCACGCCCCCTCCTCACGGCGTTGGAGTGCGAGCGGCCGGCCGGCGGCTGGCAACGGGGAGCGGCGGCCGGCTCTGGGGGCACGTCGCCGCAGCCTGCTAGTGCGCGGGCGTGTAAGCGCGGACGCCGGCCTTCCGCACACCGCGCTGCCCGAGGTGCCGGCGCCGGCTCGTGGGGACTCGCCGGTGTGTGAGCCGCCGCGCGGAAGAAGCCGTTCCACGTCTGACAGAGACGCCCCCCCCCCTTTACCGCCCGCCCTCACCTCGAGCTGGCGCTGCCTCCCCGCGCTGCCGGCTCTGCCGCTTCGCCCGCCGCTACCCCTCACGTCCGCCCGCCACCGCGCCCCGCCGCCGTCCCCCTGGTGCCGGGCCCCGCGGTGGGCTAGGCAGCCAGCCCTCGCCCCCGCCACCCAGCCGCGGCTGCCGCAGGGAAGGGACTGCAGCGACTGCCAGCAGGGAGCAGAGGAGAGGAGCAGAGCTGCCGGAGGCTCGTGCAGCGCGCTGCGGCTGGCTCTCCGGGCATGGACTGGGCTTCGCCCTCAGCCTGCCCGCGGAGAGGAGGGCGGTGACCGGCCGCCCAGCCACCCGGGGAGGAGAAGCACCCTCTCCTTCGCCGCGACCCAGCTCACGCCCGGTTAAATGTCACGGCTTTCTGGCTGCTCCCCGCCGTCGCCCCGCGCGTCGCTCACCTCGGGAGGGGACTGTGAAGGTGGTGGCAGAGGCAGCCCCGGCTGTGGCGCGCCCCGCCGCCGCTCGCCGTGAGGGAGCGCTCCGGCAGCCGCCAGGTAAGCGATGGGGGAACCCCCCGGAGCTGTCGGGAGTGGCGGTAGCGGGGAGCCCACCCGTCAGGGCAGAGTAACTTTTGGGGGTTGGGGGAAGAGGAGACCGCAGCATGGGGGCTGCGCCCCTTCGCCCCGCCGTGCGCCCCCTGGGGAGGGAGCTGACGGGGGCTAGAGCCGGCTGGACGGGGCGCAGCAGAGGAGCCCGGCGCCGCCCTCCCTCTCGGGCCGGCCGTGTCCTGGCCCCCCGAGGCCTCTGGGGTGAGGAGTGTACGACCCTGCTCGCCTGGCGGCAGGGTGGGCGGGCTGGAGTGCCCCAGTCAGCAGGTTGGGGGGGAGTCGTGCCCAGCATCAAGCCCCCTCTGCACTTCCACCTGGGGAGCAGCTTCCCCAACCTGGCTGGGAGACGTGTGATGGGGGGCCGGAGTGCTCCTGCGGCTGCCAGCTACTTGGCACAAGCAGAGTAATCCTTTGTCGCCTGCGCGGAGATGCTTCCACACCTGTGCCCGCTACCGACGTGGATGTGCTGGCTGGAGTACATGCATCAGTAAAGTGGGGCTTTTGGGGGGCGGAAGGGAAGGGGGAGGGGGGGCGGTAAAGAGACTGTTCTGCCTTCTGCAAAGCAGATTCTGAATAACTCCGGTTTAAAGGAGCAGCTCGAGGTACATGCAGGTGCTCCTGTACAGACCTGGAAGAAAAACAAAGGCGAAGAACAGCACCTGCTGTTATATCGTTTCTCTAGTCTCGAGTCGAAATTGCAAGGTTTTACAAGTCCTGTCCCATAGTTGCTGGAGTAAACATCAAAATGTTCTTAAGCATTTTTCCATTATGGCATTCCTTGCCAAGCAGACAACTGCAGTGCTTTCTCATTATATGCTGCTATTTCAAAATGCTGTTCTTTCAGAAGACCTCCTCATTTAAAAAGGAAAACGTCTGAATGTTTCAAAAATAAATCATATTTGAACTTGTATTGCTTGCCAAGTGCTGGGCGGGAGGGTGGGGGGAGAGAGAGAATAGGGGAGGAGCACAAGGTTTTTTTGTGGCTTTGTCATGAAAATGAGCTGTGCAGCCTTTATTTCAGTCAAAAGTACAGCATTAAGGAAATGGATGTGAAAATTAGTTTGTGTAACATTAAGGGAGGTAAACCATGACCTGTAAACCATGCACCCAGTAGTTCTGAAGCCTTACCCCACGTTCTACAGTGACACATCTGGGAATGAGGGGTCTGCAATGGAAAGTGTGTCTAAGAGGATTTCACCTGAAACAGCTGTATATACCCTAAACGAATTATATAGGCTTTTATTCATCATTCACGAACAACGTATGTGTCCACACGCAACAAAAAAAAAAAACAAAAAACTGCTAGGAGGTGGATGAAAAAGATACGCTTTCCTGAGCTTCTACCTTCCAGTGGAAACCACTGAATTGAAAGAGATGGTCAGCCTCCCTGCCACATGCAGTCAAAGGACCAGTAGTTCCATTAAGGGCTACACCCTTTCCGGGAAGTGCTTCCCTGTAAAGGTGAAGCTGCAGAGTGGTCTACTTTGCTCCCTAACGGACCACACACAAGGGTGTGCTAACGTCACTTTGTATGTGTAAATATCCCAGTCAGAATATGATTTGGGATTTTTCCTTCATATCAGCACTTAAAATGATTGACTTCTCAGCTGCTGTGCCACCTTCATACTTTTCTTACTTGAAACGTAGTGATTTTGACAGTAGCTAATCTCTGTGCATCAGAACAATGATATTATTCCTTTAGGTAAACAGAACCCTGAAACCTGGTTTTAGTGCTCTGAATTCCCCCTTGGGAAAACAGGAATAACACTTGCATAGATTGAAGGAAATACGGGCTACGTATGAACAGCATGGTTTAGTAGTATAGCAGATACTGGGGATTTTCTGCTACTGTTACAGAACCCATGCATTCTGTGAAAGGGCTCTAGGTGGAAATGTTACCCTGTGTAGTAGCAGCAAGAGGTGAGGGAATACAAAGTATTATAGAAGCTTGTTAGTTTAGACAGCTGTCCGCAAGTACTGTGATTAGTACTATGTTGGCATGCCACTGTGAGCTAATACTGTGGATTTGGGTATCCTGCAGTTAAGAAAAAGGACTAAAGTAATTTGCTGTTTGTAGTTCTGATGCTGTACCATTTTCCTCCAACACAGAACAGTAAGGAGGTCTGTAGAGTGCAATATTACTGACTCTGTGCTGAGTTTAAAAAATGTGTGTGCTAGTGCGTTTTTGTACCGTGTATTGAGATCCATTCAAATCACAGAAACATAGGGTGGGTGTGGTTCTGATTGATGAGGATTCTAGGAGGATTCCTGGGATGGTTTTTAGAATTCATGCAGGTATGATTGTTGCCTGGTGTTTTTTATTGTTGTTGTTTTTCTTGTTGTTTTTGTTTGTTTACTTGTTTGTGTTTCTTTTGACTGTTTCTAAACCTCAGGGAATAAATTGGAGGAAAAAAGGCAAAGGGGTTTTGAAGGCTTGGCGTATGGTTGTCTGTTGGTACATTGTCTCATCCTTTGTGAGAAGGTAGATTTCCTTCTAGCTGTTGCTGATAATTAAAAATCCAGATGAGGGACAAGGGGGGGGACACAAGTGGATCAGTTTCAGTAAATTTTTACAGTACTGGGTATGTGTGTTGCTGCATCCTCCTTTTGCCAATGAGTTTGTTTGGCAACTAGTTCTATAACACACTATGTTAACTAGATTCTAAGTCTTTGCACTTTCTCTTCACATTTTGTACAGATATTCAGGACATTTAAGAAAATTCTGTTTCTAATTAGTCACTGATTGGCATCCCTGTGTCATTATAAGGCTGATTTGGCTAAACTGTGTCTAATTATGAATCTTTACAAATTATTGCTCATTTCTCATTAGTACAATGACTAGTTTAACTGTTTATTTTCTAAGATCTTCTCAGCTCATCTGTTTTCAGCCAGGAACTTTTTTTCCCTAATTTGAAAGCATAAAAGCAAGCTTTTTCTTCTTTTCTGGAGAGAGTGGCTTCTCTGTTATTTTAGAAAAAAAACACATTAAAATAAATGAGGTAACTCCTTAAAGAATTAAATTGAAGTATTTGAAATTTATAGGCATTTCTCCTCAAGACATGCAGCATACCAATCGATGCTTTCTGTGCTGAGATATCAATATTATTCCTATGAGATATGCTGACTAGAGCAAGCAACTGAGTTGCTTGCCATCTCATAAGCCTTTTTATTCCTGGGGACAATTCCATTTCTTAATGATGAAAATCTATACAGGGAGGAAACATAGAAGATAAACTGGCATCTGTGTTGTATAATGACATTTTGGTGACCCATTTTCTGTTGATAAAATGCAAATCTAGTGGTTTTTTTTCCCCTCTTCCTTTCAGCAACTACCATGTGAAGCAGTAGTTCATGAGATTTTTTATAATCATACTGATCAGAGTTTTTATTTGATTAAAGTCTAATCTCTCATTCCTTTTGAAACTTGAAGTAGTTATCTGTATCAGCAGATTGTAGGCAAGTCTTGTTATATATTGATATGCTGTTTGTGTTTTCAGGTTGGTGATTATTATAGAAGTTACAGTTTGTCAGTGTGGGTACTTAGTGAACATCTTTTCCATTAGATGGAATTAGTGAACAGTTTAACCCACCTTCCAGAAAAACTCCTAATTACATGCAAACAGAAATAAGGTTGCATAGAAGTCAGTATTTCATTTAAAGCGAAAATATTTTAAACTGCTGCTTATTATTGAGTAGCACTTTAGCTAATCTTTTTCATAGTCCTTTCTTAAATGACAAGAAAGTCCCTTCTGTTTGGGGTTGCAAGAAAAAGCCCAATCATAGCATACTTAGCAGTTTTTAAATTACATCGTCAAAGTAGGGTGAGTAAAAAAAAATATCTCAGAAAACTGTGTCTGAAGGAAATGGGCATGTGAGTTTTCATCTGATAGCCCAATTGCATTTCCTAAAAAAAAAAAAAAATAGAAATTTTTTTTTTAGTTGCACAGATCAAGCAATTAGATGTTGGTCTCAAAATTAAAGTTGCAGTGCAAGGAAGAAAAGGTAGAATCATAGCAAGATTTTGTCATTATCAGTAATAAAACTATAATGTATTTGAATGGAATGAACAGAATTAAATTCAGCAGAAAGATTTGTCTGTATAAAATCTGACTTTATTGTGGAGTTTGTTTGATTAACTGCAAAACATCTGTCCTTTAGTCAGAGTGAAGAAGAATAATTATTATACAGTCCTATTGCTTTTATTTAGCTGAGATCTACACATTAATTAATTAATATTTTATTACTTTTAATAAATATATATTCTATTTTTACATTTTTAAATTAAAATTTTATGTCTTCTTGAAGCCATTCTTCAGATGAAGACAGTTTCTTTTGAATGATGAAAAAATCAGGTATATCCTGTAAAACTGTTAGGAAGATTGCTTAATTCTTACATGCAATGGTAATATACATTTTCTATTTGAAATTAAACTTTAAAAGATTGCATTTATCCTGATATTTGCATTTAATGATTAAAAGCAACTAGTCGCTGTCAGCTAGAACACTCTTTCCCCGAAATATTTTTAAGAATACCTATCTTCAGTGTTGAAAACTTGAAAGAGCCATAGGGGTGGCATTCACTGGGGCAGAACAAAGGCTATCCTGTAGTTCTACAAACACAGAACCCCATCTCTAAGGAATAGTGGGATTTTACTGGAGTCCTTTCTCTGATAGTTCTGTCATTACTGGGAGTGTGAAATGGGAATCGCACCCCTAGGGCAGCCGAATAGGCTGGCCTTGGAACTCGACAGCTAGTTAGACTGTTCTGCTCTGTCCTCTTTCCAAATTCTGATTAGTCTTTTCTCCTATTACTTGCTTCACTTTATTTTGATTCTGAGGAAACAGCATATTTTTTCTTCACCAAATGGTATTTATCTTTTGGTTGCTGTGCTTCATAAACTACATTTCAAATTGTTATTTGGTGAAGTCCTCCTGGAACAGCAGTA